CATAGAAATCTTAATATGTTTATTAAAATGCATTAACTCTCAAAGATATAATGTCATATATCCAGTCCGTCATTGACCAAAATGTTGTTATGCAACATGACTGTACATAGAAGCTCCTTTACTGACATGGTTATACATTCTCATTAATATTTTACAAAAGAAGCTTAGAACAAAAGTTTATCAATTCTATCCTCCTCTACCCTGCCTGCCACTAATTAATGAATGGTATTAGTAGTAGTTAGGGTATAGACACTATGGACCTACAAAAATGAACTTAAGCTTTTTACAGCCTTTCAAAATCTATTTTGTTTATAAATAGAAAATTTTCTGTATTAGATGCTATGACTTTTATTCAATAATTATTTCTAAACATTTATTAAATGTCTATTATGTCTCAAATTATACTAGGTCCTGTGGATACAAAGGCAAGACAACCTCTGCCATTAAGGAACAACCTATTGTGGTAGACAAATAACTTACTAAGATACAGACTCACACAGGAAACTATGAAAATTCCGAGGGGTACTTACCTAACTCAGATTTGGGGGAGGGGGGTAAGTTTTCCCAAAAGAAGTAGAACCTGAGCTAATTAATTCTTCAAGGAAACAATCTCTTACACTGATGTCAACTTTATCAGTGTAAGAGAAGGAAGATCTTTCCAGGCAAAGGAAGAAGTATGCACAAAAGGAAAGCAAATAAGAATGTGGAAGGGTCAAGTAACTGCAAGCATAATTCATCATGGCTACAAGGCAAAACAGGGGAGGAAAGTAGGACAGAATAGCTAAGTATAATCAACATAATTACAAGAAATAAAATTTTATCTGCTGCCAAAAGTCAACTCCAAATCCATTATCTCCATCTAGGACCTCCCTCCTGAGCCCCAGACCACTATATCCAACTGCCAACTGGAAATTTCCTCGTAAATGTCCCTCTAGAACAGCGGTTCTCAACCTTCCTAATGCCGAGACCCTTTAATACAGTTCCTCATGTTGTGGTGACCCCCAACCATAAAATTATTTTCGTTGCTACTTCATAACTGTCATGTTGCTACTGTTATGAATCATAATGTAAATATCTGATATGCAGGATGTATTTTCCTTCTTACAAACTGAACATAATTAAAGCATAGTGATTAATCACAAAAACAATATGTAATTATATATGTGTTTTCTGATGGTCTTAGGCGACCCCTGTGAAACCCCCAAAGGCAGGGTCTCAAACTTTTTAAACAGGGGCAGTTCACTGTCCCTCAGACCGTTGGAGGGCCGGACTATAGTTTAAAAAAAAACTATGAACAAATTCCTATGCACACAGTGGCGGCAAAAACACCCGGCGGGCCGGATAAATGTTTTCAGCGGGCCGCATGTGGCCCGCGGGCCGTAGTTTGAGGACCCCTGCCCAAAGGGGTCGCGACTCACAGGTTGAGAACCGCTGCTCTAGAATCTTCCCACACTCCTCTGTCACGCCTTTCAGATGTCAACTTTATCTTGAAAGATGAGCCAGATCAAGTCTAGATAGGTGCCT